CGATGATATTGACCTCCCATAAAATATATAACGAACTTCTATAAAACTTCTGAAATTCAAGACTCTGGATAATAATAAATTAATAATATAGGTGACAGTAATTATTGCCACGCAAGTACTGTTTAGGTCCATTTTTTGAACAAGAAGGCCTAGGTAGTACCAAGTCGGTGATTGTTTTTTTTTCTTACCACTCCCTCTTGTTATGGAGTGTGGACACCATGTTGGAGAATAGAATGTTATGTTTATTACTGAATGAAAAGGGTTTTATATATACACAACTCTTAGTATAGAAAATGAAACTCTAAATTTAATTACATATAGGTAGTTTACTCTTATATTTTCACATATTAAATTACATATATATACGCTACCGACACACCTCGTGGCCTTTCATTGAACAACTATAGAGCCACTAAACCTTGTTTCTCTGTGAAAAATAGAAAAAGCATTTTATGTTTATTCCTTTTACTAGACTCGATGCTTTGGGAGAAGATGACTATTTTGGCCTCTCTTTTGGCTAAGACTTATGGCAAGTACTCTGAGATCTCCTTATCTGTGCTTCATAGAAGTTGGGATGACTTGATATTATGACAAATTGTCGTTCTCTTTGAGTAATGTTTTGTTTTCCTTGTTTTTGTTTCTTTTTACTTCGTTTCTCAGCAGGATAATTTATTTGCTTTAATTCTTGTTTTGTGCTCATCTTTTCTCAATAATATTTCTTTTTCTGTCAAGAAAATATTCATTCCGTTTACTTTTTTCCTTTTTGATAAAGTTTACATTGAACATATTGCCTTCTTATCCAGGTTGAGGCCTGGAATTGTAATTTTCAACTATCGGGATTATAGCAATATGCTACAAAAGGTTGAAGGTAAGAATTTCCTTATCCTTTAAAAATTAGTATTCTTGTGCGTTGTATTGCTCTGTACTGTTGATTGGTCAGATTTCAGTAGTAATGTTATCAAACTTGTTTCCTATTGTGGCTTCCTCTTTTATTCTCAGTCCTTGCTGGTATAAATAGGTAACTTGAATCGCTCATTAAGTATTATATTTGTGCAATTTTAGTTCTGCTATGTTTTGCCTTGGTCTGATTATTTTCTAACTTATCAGTAAAATGTTCGTCTAGTTGGAAGGAGTGTTTTTGCTTAGGTTGTCTAGAAGGGATGGCAGCCTGGACTGAAACTGAAACCTCACAGACTACACGATTAAATTATGGTTTCTCTCTTGGTTCTGATTAAGGGAGGTTTTAGTTTTGAGATCATGGATTATTTTGAGGTATGTGTACTGGACATTTTTGCAGATTTTGTTAATCTGGCCTTGTTAGAAAAAGGGATATGATTTTGTGGAAATAAATCATGTGAAACATGCCTACATTTCTACC